TTGCGACTGTTGGAGCGCCGCGAGCAAAAAGGCATACTAATGCTTTTCATAGGGGATTAATTGGCAGACTATCTCATCAACTGGTATGATGCTACTAGTATTTCTACTAGTAGATGCTGATGCATAGCCTGACAATTGACATATCGTAGGACATCGCAATGTTAAAAATACCAGTCGCTAACATTGAAAAGGGATAGAACGTGAACTAGTTGGGCTGAAACGCAAACTGGTAGAATTCTAGTTCACAACTAGTAGCTTTTCCTGCAGGGATGCACGACTTAAACCTAGGTATATTGTTGTGTGTGAAAGAGCTCAGGTGTTCGTCTCTCAACACATCGCGGTCAAATGTCTCAATTTCGGGGTAGAAGCACAAAGAGTGCTCTACTGTCTCATCCTCTTCAAAGCAGGATATGCAAATGGAGTTGTCATATACGCCTATCACAGTCCGGTCTTTGTGCCACGTGAAGTGGCCAGTTAGCCTTTGTTGCGATGCTTATACCCAGAATAAAATCTGGGGCAACAGCAAGTGCAATGCGAAGCGAGATCGGCTTTGTATATGTATATTCTGTCAAACTTGGCACTATATTTTACATATATATTACGTGAATGTGGACACTAAGCCAACATTTGTTACTCGCAGAAGACAGGAAGTGATTGATCTTACCGTATCTAGTTCTCGGTTAGGGTGGTCAGTCCTAAACTTGACAGTTGAATCGAGTTTCAACTTGGCGGACTGGCCATGTTTTGGGAGGATCTTAGGAACCAGACCACGACACCAACTAGAACAAGATAAGGTGGTGGTGGCTAATTTAACCGCTACCCTACGTGCTAGTTTCGATGAGGCTTGTCCTTCTTGTTCACCTCTTAGCCGTACGCCTGTTCGCAGTTGGAACAAGGAGCTTCATAAGTTGTGGGTTAGTCGAGAAAACTTCTAAACCGGGCCCGAAAAACTAATTTTGAGATGAAGTGGGAACGCTGCCGCTGCAGGTAAAAAGAGTATAAGGTCGAGGCCACACCATGAGCGGCAAAGCGGTCCCGCACTGAGCGGCATTTCTGAGTGGCTGAGCGGCATTTCTGAGTGGCTGAGCGGCATTTTTGTATGGCGCCGCTCACGATCCGGCCCTGACTTCACCGCCTTATCAAGGGGGCAGGCTTCATTAATTAAAAAGTTGCTGCTCTGCAATCAAATTTTAATTAGTATGCACACGGGCGGTATAACGGCGCTAGTTTGCTGCATATCGAGAATTAACTAATATTCGTCATGTAAAATATGACGTCAATTGCACTATTTCCGTAGACTCTTTTTTATTGAAGGGAAAGGGGAAGCACACACGAACAACTTCGATGAGAAATAGAGTGATTTGGAAGAGCGCTATTTCGGTTGCAATTAAATCCAAAAATAAAAGATAAATGATATCGTTCGAATTAGATAGATAATAAGTATAGCTCGGATTTTTTTGCAAATTGAATGTGCAAAATATTTGCAAGATGTGTGCAAAAAATAGGCAATAATTATGAAAAATATTTAAAAAGTTTATAAAATGTACATAGATAAAATCGTTAAAAAATAAGATTTTTATGAAAAAATTTAAATAAGACCTTAGGAACAAGACCGGATCCATTTGAACTTGTGTCCATGTTATTAAGATTTCATAGAAAATTAAACAAGTTTTGTTAAACGTATATATTCAAATTTATGGGGAGGTAATGCCAATCCTCTTTTCTTCAGAGTTGGGAGAGAAAAAATCTCTTGCAGGGGATGTGGGTTGAGAAGCAGCTCGCTGCCAACGACTTGGTGCTCTTTCACAAACCCAGCAGAGGAGGAGGAAGAAGCATCTGAGGGCGAAACGCAAACAGGGGGAATCCTCTTCTGTGGCTGACCGAACCCCTCCTGTCGCTGCATTCAGTAAGCGGCCCAGGTCTAAGGAGGTTACTCCGGAACCCAGTGGGACTTCGGTGGATGCACTGACATCCAAATCAGCTGGCGAACGTTGCAATATAAGGAAAACTGTGGTGGCACCCACCAATGCCTGTCCTAATGCCTCATCGAGTCCTAGTGTGGCGGGTACTGGTGTGGTATTGCACAATTCCTATCAGCCAGACAGACCTCTGGCGCCACGAAACCTTTGCCTAAAACAAAGGGTAGAAGTGACGGAAGGATCAGTCGAGGAAGAACTGCTCTCGCTATGCACTTGAATTATCAAGCCGTCCTACTACGTCTGGAGGGGGAGAGGCGTCACTGTTAGGCGAGAATCACGTGTCAAGGTACAACTACTTTCTTGCCAGAACTATGACTAATGAAGATGCCCTAAGATGTGATATTGAGTCTTTTGACAGTCTCAAATCGCCCGGTATGATTGGCATCCTACCTATTGTACTTAAAGAAGATGTAGAGCTTTAGTTGGCGACCTTGAAAAATATTTTCACAGGATCACATGCACTTGCCTAGATACCACAAGCATGGAAGCTGGTTGATGTCGCCTTTGCACTTAACACAGGTTGGTAAGGGTAACTGTACTAGCCCCAGAAGCTACAGGCCTATTAGCATGACATCCTTGATGCCTAAATGTCTGGAAAGATTGGTAAAGTTGCGCATTCGTAAGGAGGCGTTCTCATCACATCTTCTGTATTTGCATCAACATGCCTATCAGGCGTCCTGTGAGATGACTTTGCAAAATCTGGTTGCCAGAATTAGCAATGCCAGAATTCGCCTTGGGCTTATTTCTAGACATTGAGGGTGCTTTTAACAATTTGTGCAAATGTGCAATTCTTCTCTACGGCATAGAGTACATTCTGCAATGGTAAATTGGATTCGTTCTATGCTGGCGCAGAGGCTCATCACTCGTATTTTTATTGTATTTCATAGATAGTTCTTCTGAAAGATGACCCGTGGCGATAGTTTCAGTAGAATCTGTCAGCTTCCTTTTCCTTGTGAAACTCGAGCACTCGTCTATGCGTTTTGTTGCTTTTCCTCTAGTTCGATGAGTTGACATACTAGGGTTTTTTCGTCAAATAAACTTATACCCACAAGCCAGTTTTCATGGGGTTTTTTGTTCAGAATAAAAGATCTGGACCGTTGGCCCAATTTTTAAAAGTGAGATGTCAAATTAAAGCGCTTAGTCTGTAGATGTGCAAACTGGTTATATTCTTTCGAAAAGCGTTGCCACCTGTTGAAAAACTAAAATTCAAATTATTTAATAATAAATGTTAAACTAAAAACCTTGTACTTGCAAAATAAGGTTTTACTTTTTTTAAAAGAGTTACCACCTTTTAAAAACTTATATTAAAATTATTAAAAAAACAAATCAGTTATTACAAACTGGGTATCAATCGAAATGGTTTTGAAAAGCTTTGGTTCTTAGCTGAACTATAGGTGGGTTGCCACCTGTTTAAAAAATCATATCAGGTAAGATAAATGTGTAACACCATATGGGTGCCTAACGAAAGGGATTTCAGAAAGTAGTAATAATAAATGAGAAGAGGGCTGCCACCTGGTTTAAACGTTGAATTTAATTTACTTATGCCTACGCAAGTTATACGGTATATAAAAATATGGATGTCAAGCGAAGGAGTGTTAAGAAATCTTTAGTTTGAACCCTAAGAATATTTTTGAGGTGTTGGAAGAGGGTTGCCATCTGTTTTAAAAGTTAAATTTAAATTGCTTTATAAGTTAAATGAATGGTTAAAATATGGGTATCAATCGAAGGGGGTTTGAAAGTTTTTTATTTGTGAACTGTACTTAGCGGGGTTGCCACATGTTTAGAAATTATAATTCTACTTAATTCATCAGTTAATTAATATATGTATCGCAGTGCCCGGGTAGGAAAGTTGACAATGATTAAGCTTAAAAATACTTTTGAAGAGGGCTGCCACCTTTATGAATGGTCTAACTCAATTAACTAATTCAAAAAGTATATGAAATATGAAAATCCCATATTCAAACGAAAGAATGATAAGAAATCTTTAGTTTGAGCATTTCGAATATTTGAAAAGAGTTGCCACGTGTTTAAAAAGTTACATTCAAGTTATTCAGTAAGTTGGATGAATTATGAATAGATAAGTATATATCGAAATGGGTTTGAAAGGGATTTATTCCTGACCTTTACTTAGAAGGGTTGCCAATTGCTCGAACAATCAAATTCGAATTAGTTCATAAGTTTATTGAAATACATGGGTATCACAATGTCAGAAGATTTTAGTTTGAGAATAACTTGGGAAAGGAATTCAAAAAATTACGAGCTTTTGTCATTGGTATAGGGTGATTTGAAATGCGGTCAAAATAAAAACATGCACTATGCGAGACTGCTCTTCACTCAGAAACGGCTGCAAGGTTTTGATGAGATATGACAGTCGAATCTCTTATAACCCTGACTAAAATTTTGAATATTTTTTAAATTTTTTAAATTCTATTTTGGGCGCTTTAACGTCATCCGGGTTCACTAGTTATAAATACATAATACCCCAGCTCATGTCCCAGCAACTTTCCTACAGGTCGTAAGCGCTAAAATATTTATGTATGTGCATATGTATATCAAAACAAATACGAAACTGCGGCGTTAATATATTACACACACGTTCCACGTTTGTTGACATCAGAGAGTAGCCGTAGATAAAACGTTTTGCTAAAATACGTTTTTTAATTCAATTTACTTGTCTCAGTTATTTTTGCCAAGCTCAAATCCGTTTATTAGTCCCAGGTATTATTGTGATTATAAAGAACATAGATTGATGATTGTGGCTACTGGAAATACGCAATCCAAATATGCACACACACACCTAAAGTCATACATCCGAAATTCAAATGTATCAGTGCCTGAGTGTTTATCTTCAAATGCCTTAAAGAAGAGGTGGCGGTGGGTGGATATTTATTTATCTACGTATTTTGCACAGCTCTCGATTTGGATGATAAGAAAACTCTTGAGAGGCCTCACAAGCATTGCCGGCAAATAGTATAAAATCGTTGCGCTTCTTTGCGAATTCAGTCAAACGCATAACAGCAAAGAGCAAAGCAACGCTTACTATAAAAATCGAAGGATAAATAGCCAACAAAGTCGTCATAAATATTTTAGAAAGTTCAGAAAAAAAAACCTCTCCGTTATGTTGAAAATCGTAGTGTGCATTTTAAGTACAATCCTGGCAACAGTGGTTAGTGGATTTAGAAATCACCTTTTGTGCTTTCTTTTTTTATTAGGTTTAAATACTTAAATTATTGTTATTATTTTTCAATTCGACAGTTTGCCAACCGCCTGCCGCTTGACACACACATTGCTGACCGTGCTGCTGAACTTTCGTTGGGAAATTTCCTACTCGCACGCCAGGCGCGTATTTCACCAACAGAGTCTGCGGAATGCTTCGACACGTACGAACCACTAATGCAACAAGCAGCAGCTCAGTGGTCCTCAGGATATCAGGAATGTCTGCAGGTGGCTCAAACTGATCGCAATGCCATCTTAGAGGCGGCAAGTCAGAGTCAAAAAGAGATATCAACCGAGGCGGCCAGTGTTTGTAGTTACGTGCAAACCTGTACTGCAGTCAACAGCTCACTGGATGCACTTGATTGTTTCGCAGATTTGGTGAGTGGTAATCAAGAACAGATTTTGAACAAAAGGCAACAGTTGACTTATTATTAACTAAAGTTGTTCTGATATTTTTTTTTTATTTTAACTATTATAATTAATTACCTTTCTTAACATCACTTCTCAATTTTAGTCCTCCAACACACTCTCGCCCATTTATGTTATCTCGAATAATGCTTCGGATTTGGCGGGTGAAATACGTGAGCAATTGAATGTCATCGACGTAAATTCATACAAGTGTTGCAATGCCACCGAACGCAAGTGGGTTGAGACCACAGCGCGCCTTAGCGATGCACTTAATTATTGCTTGCAATTTGGACCACCAGAAATAGTCACTCCAGCCAGTAGCGCACAGGCGCAGGTGGCATCAGATGCACGCAGGGATATTCAACTTGTCTCTGCACCTCGTCGTACACCAATTGGTAGGATATTGGCTAATGAAGCCGAGGCGCCAGAGGCGGCAGAGCCCAATCGTGAAATAAGCAGTAATTTGATTTTGGCCTTCAACAATTGGTTACAACAAAACGGAAATAGAGGCGTGGCTAATGTGTAAAAGTATAAACGAAAAAAAATTGAACTTACCAAATCGCTGTAAAAACATACACGAAATTATATAGAAGCTCCCAAAAGTATGCATTGTTTTAATTCTTCTTGTGAAAATAATACTTGGTGCAACCCAGCAAGCGTTAATATTTGGTGTTTAATTGCGTTGGGCCGGTATATGGTGGAAAACACAAATAAATGGCGCATTCCGTAGGCAAAAGATTTTACAAAATAAATAATAAAAACAAGTAAGTTTTATGCAAAAATTAAAACCGAGTTCGATTCTCATATAAAAATTTAAGATTATCCTTAATTTCTTCCTGATCGAATGATCGGATTTAAACCAAATTAGTATGAGACCACCTATGAGGTAATACCTTTCCGCTAAAAAAAATAATTATGGAAATCGGTTAACGTGGTCCAAAGCTATGCGGTAACATATATAAAAAAATATATATTTAGACGAATTGATAACTTTCTCCTTTTTGTGATATCGGTTAACACGGTCCATTTAAAGCGCTCCTGATGGAGAGCCTTCTGTCATAAAATAGAAACTACTTCAGAGGTCAGCAGACTAAGTAAAATACTATCAACGAGAGCTAGTAATATTAGCTATGCCTTCCAGAAATATGGTGATTCAACAACTAGTAGCGAGAAGAAACATTAGAGATTCTAATTCAAATGCACTATGCGGGTTACCTCCACAGTCACAGTCAACAATCGACTCATAGGCAGCGAATATTACCTGTAAGTCTCTGGCGCGAAACGGAATCATTCCCGCTGACCTACAGCATACATCTTACATGATTGTCTCCGTACCACTTTTTGAGGCAGCGTTACGAATTAATTGGAGGGGTATCCAATGGTAGGCGGTAAGGGTAGTTCTCATTCCTAAAGGGGAAAACTTCACATACGAGACCAAAAGACTTTAGGCCAAATAGTCTGTCATCTTTCTTGCTCAAATCCCTAAAACGACTTAGAGATGGGCATATTGGGGACCAGGTAGGTAGCAAAATTTGGTCCAGCATGCCTAAAATTATAAAAGGTCAGTTAAAGTAGTACTCCACTCCCTAGCTCACACAGTTGAAAAATCATTCTGTACAAAGAATACACCCTCGTTACCTTTCTGGGCATTGAGGGTTCTTTCCATATGTAAGGTATCGCCTGCGGCAATTATCACATCGCTGTTAAATCTGGTTGTAAGCAATTTACTGACCTCGTTTATCTAACTTTTGCTAATCGGACGAGAAATAAGCGCAGGATAAGGTGAATCAAAAATAAAAAAGTTCCTACTCAGTTGTAATCTCAACGCGTCTATGGAACATAGCAGTAGGCAGCCTACTTTAAGAACTTTAAAATGTGGGTAGGCAGATAATTGCATACGCCGATGATGTAGTAGCTACTCTTATCTCAGTTAAATACCTCTCAACATTTACTAACTTAATCGAAACATCTCTCGACAAACTATTCCTATAATGCAGCAAGCGAGGTTTGGAAGTGCATTCTGAAAAGAAGAGACCAAGTGCCGTTCATCAGGAAGCACAAGATACCTGATCTGGAGCATATAATTCCTTGCGGTAAAGGAGTAGACCAAACATTCGCTGCTTCTTTCTATAGCCGCTCGTGAAGACGACGGTCTTTTTTGGCGCCATGCGCAGAGCTTTTCTGTCGCGTGCTGACTGGCTTCTCATCTTTCGCGGAGCGCTGGCTCTTGAATTCGCCTCCAGCGTTCTTTTCCTCTATGCTATTGACGTAATTCTGTTATCTCGCAGTAAAGCGTTCGCCATCAAACTGCACGCGACCTTACCTAACCACCTCTCCCGCCACTTTAATCGCTCGTTCTTCCAGTTCATTGGATCAATCAAGGCTCACCTAGCGCCGGCTTATTCCCAATGTCGCTTTGTACTACAATATAGCTTTCTTCTACTCCCTATTTCATAGCTTTTCCATACTGCTGAAATAAATCGCCCTCCGCAGTTGGGCCCCACGTGCCACCTTACTTCCCGACGTGGCCCGGTGTAGGGGTTATGGAATGCATGGAAACACTTAACACATTCATCCAGTCCCTGTAAAGAAATTTACCTCACAACCGCGATCGAACATTTCTGTATATCAAGGCTATTGAAGAACCTAGCATACAGCACTGATCCCTGATCTTAGTAGGATACCCCTGAAATCACATAGGATCACTCAGTGGTACCCGTTACCAGCCGGCACTGTCGCGGAGAGTTCTGTCGACGATTTTCGCCAACTGTTAATTTTCATAGTTTTCTAAGAAAAAAATAAATAAATTCGTGCTTTTGTTCACTTTGAGATTCTTCCGCGGCTTTAAAAAGGCATATTAACTAAAATCTTATTTGGATGAAACAGCTTATTAAACGTTGTGAAGCTTATATAATTCACTGTTTTTTAAATATTTATTTAAGCCATTATTAGCAAATCACTTTTGAAAAATTTTAAATCGACCACTTAATATCCCAAGAATGGAAGCGTGTAGGCCAAAAGTTTATATGAGAGAAACACTCCCATTTTACATAAAAATGTGTATAATTTGCGCTTCAATAAAATATTTACATAAATACTTAAGAGATATTGGTCTTTAATGCTATTTACAATTTTTTGGTAGATTTTTGGACTTTAAGTCTAAACTGCATGGCTTTCTCAAGCTACTTATATCCAGATTTTTTTCTTTATCCCCAAGTTATCCGAAAATGCGCGGGGAGCGAAAAAATTTAACACGTTTGCATTTTTGGGTACTCTAATGAACGAGTAATTTCAAGCAAATCGGACCACAACTATGATTTTTCGTGTAGAGCAGTTACTGTTCCAGCTATCGGAGGAGTTAACCTGCATATTAATCCAAATAATAGACTATCTGCGTGCCAAGTTGCATTCCAAACCGTTCAGCCGTTCTTGCGTGATTGAGTAACAAACATTCACACATACAAACTTTCACATTCATAATAATAGTACTTAATATAAAGGTGGCTGAGCACTAGGAAAAAAAAACAAAACTAAGCTAAACTTACTTAAAAATTAAACAACTTCACTTATGTATACCCGAAATTAAAACATTAGCAACAAAATCTTCAGCCGCCCTTCAAACATCTCGAAAGCTGCACATACGCTTTTGCTGTGGAATTGAGATATTGCTTGTCTGCAGCAATGAAGCACAACAGCATTTCCTTTTCCGCTTCCTGGTATTTTTTCTCCAATTCCACAATGGCAGCCGATGAATTTAAATATACGTTCATTAGTGTGTATATATTTTTGTACGACTTTTGATGATATTTTGAAAGGGAAATTAGAAAAATGAAACAGTTTTAGCAGCACTTGTGTCAGTAAGTAAAAAAAAAAAATGAAATTATTTAGTTGGTGGTCGGGTTTTCAGCAAGTAAGGAAAGCTAAACAACTCATTTAAAAAACTTAAAATATGTGGTTGAAAAACAACTGCTGATTTTCTTTGGAAATTCTAATTTTTTCTAGTAAACTCAGAGTGCTGGAATTAGTTTTGTATGCTCTATACTTGGTTAATCGATACTCTCCAAATTGAAGGAAAACACTTTCTAACAAGTTTTGTTTGCTTAAAAACTCGACCACACATACACACGAATGCACTAAATTGTATAAAGACTTTCTCTTAATCACTCACATTGTTCCTATTGCATTGAAAGAAAGCCAAATCACTTTCACGTTCCGCACAATCGCGAAAAGCTGTACACATCTCGTCCACTGCCTTCGTTACACCTTCTCGCGTAGGTTGCTGCTCCTCGGCATAAAGCACACGTTTGTCCACATCAAAAACATGGCAATCTCTGTATGCCGTTGCATAGGTATTACTCGCATTGCGACTCTCCTGCATATATGTCTCGAAACAATCATTTACATTAGTCGTTACGCCAACGCCCACACTATCTCCACCACCATAATGGCGGTCACCTGCAGCACCCACTTTTATAAGCTCTGCACTAGCCGCCATCGTTGCCAATACAATAGACCACAAATCAGAATCAGTGGAGCGGCGGACAGTAAACCACACTAGAAGCAGCGACAGGAACAGCTTTAAGGGTAACATTTGATGAGCCATTGTCGAGTGTTTGGGTTTCGCTTGCATACATACATATGTATGGATGTAAACACAATTACGAAAATGTACGGTGATGCACGCAGGATACCGCACTGCACGTACACAGCAAATAGTTAGGCGGCTACCTGCTTTTAATAGTCGTTGATTGCGATTTATAATTGACGGTAAATTGCGGTTGTTTTACGTTTGCTCAGCTCCAGTTCAAGTTGCAAAATGCCATCTGACGAGCAATCGATGGATAGAAACTCGTTGATCGTTGATCGTTGATGCTTAGGTTTGTAGCACACATCAACAAATAGACAGACCAACTGTTAGACAACCCGAAAATTATGGTCTTATACATAGATACGTGTAACTACGTTACTAGCGACTGACTAGCCGTTTTGACGCTCATCCAACAATTGGTAGTAAATCACTTTTGTTGCCCGCTGAAATATTTATGTACCTACAAGTAGGTATATAGAGCATCAAACGTTTCGAGGCTTATCTTTAATTGGAGCATAATAAGCGCACATGTATATAATTCAAAAATACACATGTTCATAAGGTATCAAAAACATCAATTATATTAGTTATCAATAGGGAAAGAGTGGCTTCAGTTTTATAGCATTCGGTGTTGATTATCACACAAAATTATGCGTTAAAATTGATAACAAAAAATTGTTTAAGTTTTAACCAAAAACATGGCATACATAAGTTTTAGAATGAAGTCAACCCACTTGACAAAATGTGATGTTTTCAAAATAGAATTTTAATAAAAAATTGATTAAAAATACGCGTGTGTCGACGACATCGACATAGTCGGTAAAAACAAGGGCAACATCTGTTCTTCCTTCTCTGTATTAGATCGAGAAGCAAATTCTGAAATAGGGTGTTCTTGAAAAGTTTTCTGAGATAGGGAGTTTTCGAACTGTCGATATGTATCTACTGTGTGTGGATTAGCATGGTCCAAAAAAAAAACAAAGTCGGAGTTTTTTTTATTTTGAAAT